ACTGCTGTTTGTGCCGTTCCCATATACCTGCTTAAAACAGTTATGGTCTGGTGGGGTCCCCTGCTGGAGGTGGCCAGCTGGGCAAAACTATGGGAAATTTGTCACAGAAACACGGTGCTGTAGAAGAGTGATGAGATGGGCTGTGCAAGGTCAGACTCCAGTACCCGTGTTGTGCAGCACCGTTTCAGCAGAGATGTCTGTGGGATCTGGTGCTGTTCAGTGTGTGCCTTGAAGTGCAGCTTGCTCAGGGCCTTGCACCGAGAGCAAAGGAGCTTTGCTCCGATAAGCTCCAGGGATCTGAGAATTGGATGGAAATCTTGCTGCTTCTGCTGTTTTTCTACAGTTGGCTCCGAAATGCCGGTCAGTGGGTTGCAGAGACCAAATTTGGCTCAATTACCGTCCCTGGATTAACAAGTTCACTGGTAGTTCCTCAGCTTGCAGGGTTTCCAGGCAGGAGAGCAGCCAGGTGTGCTTTGTCAGAACAAAGTCCTTTAACTGTGCTTTTAAAAGACAGAATAGCATTTAACCGGTCAGTCTTCTTCTGCTGAAGAATGTGATCTGAACCCTGAAGCTTCTTTCATGCTGTATTTTTATAAAACTCAGTGCTCAGGAAAAATAAAGGGTTTTTCCCTGGGGTCCTGCTGCAGCTTGAAGTGTGTTTGGGGACAGCCTGGCTGCAAGGGGGTGGCCGAAAGGATGGGGTCAGTGCTATGAGTCTCCTTATGTTGATCCGTCTTGCTATGCAGAGTGTGTTTCCTGAAGTTCAGAGCTTGCCACCAGATGATGTTTGCCACCGAAAGGAAAATGGTCTTTCAAAGCTCCAGGCAAAAATGTCACTGCTTCGGCCAGTTGTCTGTGTCTTCTTTATGCTATCAGGACAGCAATCAAAGGCAGTGACTCATATTCCCAAGCCCTTATTTCCTCAAGCGTTTATTTGTTGCAGAGAAGGCTATTGAGGGGTCAGCATCTCCTTTGAGCTCTCTCTCCTGGGGTTTTCCAAAGACTCATGCAAAAGGATAGGACTGAGCGCAGCTAGGACAGCGTGGGGCCCTGCTTACTGTGTCTCCTCTGTTCTGCATCTGCAAGGAGGCTGTGCATCTTCTGAGCCCGAGCAGAAACATTTCTGTTAGTCCTGGACCTTTGGTAAGTGGAGGACACTTGGGTCCCATACAACATTAACTGCCCAGGAGCCTGAATGCACAAACCAAGCAGTGAAATGAAATGATCCCTTCTTCTTTTAGAGGTTGTATTCAGCACACGACAGACACGCTCATGTTTTGTGCTCTGCTGTGCAGAGGGAACAGTCAGAACAGAGCCCTGGGGTTTAGCCCTGTCACTGTCCCCTCTTGTGGGGCAATCCAGATACCTGTCCAGCTGCCCTGCTTTGTACAAGGGAGACGAGGCTATTTCCCTGGCTCCTGGATAGTATTTCCAGGACTCCTAAGTTCCTCTAATGAGGTGAGGAGCTCCAATTGAGTGCAACATGGTAGGATTATTAATGGAAGTTGTGTTTAGGACAGCAGGGAGGATGTATCAGAACTGTCAGATCAGATGAGCACAGTTGCCTGCTTTGAAAAGAAATCTCTGCAACTCTGTAGGAGTTTTATTGCTTTAGGATACAGCCTGGCATTGCAAATTCCAATGGCAAATTGGATCCAATAATGTCAGGCTTGTTTTGATTGCAGTTGTACAGGAAAACTCTGTGCTGTTTGCAAGTAATTCATTAATTCATAGGTTGAATAATCAATCCCTGCCCTGTGCAGGGAGAGATGAGCACTGTGCTCAGAATCTCTATGGCTTTCAGAAGCTCTYCGTCTTTCCCATGGCCTTGCATGGGAATTACTGTAGGGAACTTAGTGGGCAGCACCAAATTTAGCTTTTAAGGTGTTTAGTGGAGACTCAGCATCTTTGTACAGTACCTCAGCAACAGGAGGTTTGTGCATATGCAGTGATTGCAAACACTGTGTGAAGGAGGAGGAAGAGCAGGATCTACTGCTCTCCTCTGACTGCCCCTCTCCCATGGGAATCTCCTTCATCCCTCCGGGAGCTCTGTCTTCCAGGTCCTCTCTAGCATCTCCTGGCCCAAAGGGTATTGAAAAGACCAATTATTTGAGCTGATATTTTTATCAGTAAAAATCAATGCACATACTGTGTTTGTTTAAAACTTTGGTCTGTGGGAAGGCTTGCAGGGTGCACGTGGTTGGCGAGCTGATGCCACCGGACGAGCATGGGGTGATACGTGCTGGCCATGTGCAGATCTGCATCTGTCAGATGCCATTAAGGGCTGGAGTTGGTGACTGTCTGAGGGTTCGATCATTTAATGCCTGGGCACTCGCGGGTGTTTCTGTCGATGGCTTTTCGTCCTCTCTCTCTGCATTGCATTGATCTCCAGGCTAGGGTTTGTTACCCAGAACTTTTGCGAGCTGTTCTCTGTAAAGTGCCAGATGCTGCAACCCGAATCTGAAGTCTAAACATTGTCTCAATGCCAACTTTTCTTGAGGTATTTCATTAGTCTTTTAATGGTGGAGCTTTGTTGAAAAAGTCTTTTTCTTGTAATTTTAGTATTTGTTCACTTGGAAAGCTTGGAAAAATCTGTGAGGATTTCCCTTTCCTCAAGTTACTCCTCAGTTCTCTGGACATAATGATGCTTCCACTATGTACAAAAAGATACCAAACCACTGGGCCCTGAAAGGGGCACCTTCAGTGATTCCTGATGCACCTTTGCAAACAATGTTTGACCTGTGTATGCCCCAGAAAGCCCAGTTATAAATATGAGTTAATGCAGGGGCTGATTTGACTGTAAAGACATTGCCTTGGAGCTGAACTGCTTTGCAATTAAAGTTTTACATGAAAAAAAAGATATACCAAGTGGAAATAAATGTTTACAGTTATAAACACAGCAGGCARAATCTCTCCAAGGGCTTGAAGGATCCTGAGTGAGAAGCTGAGATGATGGAGTAATTTAAATAAATGTAGAGCCAGGGAAAACAAAGCTGAATGTAAATTCAACATTGTGTCTGGCTTTGATTTTATTTAAGGTGGACAAAGCAGAAATTAGAGGTGTAAATGAACCAAATATCCAGCTCAGGTATTACGTTAAAATAAGCTCATGTCTGGGGACTTGCCGGTTCCCCATTGCAAATTTCTTGAGAATTTTCATGGTGTTTCATTTCAAATACACTATTCTTCTCCTGAAGGAAAGTCTAATGTAACCCATGTGCATGGCATGTAAAGCTGAGTAGAAAGAAAATGGAACCAATTTGTTTTTAAATGCAGAAAAGGAGTCAATGCGAAAATCTGCTGATGAGCGCTTTAATCAAAATGTGCAGGAAATACAGATATTTCCAGACAGAGTTGATGAGATGTGGGATAAAAGGGGAAAAGAGTTGTATGGTATAATGACCATCCCAAAGCAAAATCCTTAAAAGCTTTATTTCATATTGCCTCTCGCTATTGTCTAATGGTTGCTTCAAAACCATCCTCAGTGCATTCTGTTTAGCAAAGATGCAGTCACTGCTGGTCTCTGCAGTGACTTCATTGATTTCAGCAGGTTGAGATGAGGCTGTTTGGAGGTGCAGGGCATTAGTGYACAGCTCAAACAGAAGGAACCTGCCCTTGCTCCCTTCTTTCCCTACCTGTACATCAGCAGTGTGGCAATTGGCATTTCTGTGGCAAGAGCAGAGGGAAAACTTATTCCAGAGTCTGTTTTTCCATAGAGCCCTATCTCCTGTACAGCTATGGTCCTTGACTTTATTTCAGCACTCCTTTTACCTCAGACTAAATTAGTGCACTTTATATTTTAAGGTTACCTGTGTRGGGGGTGTCTGTGCTTCATACTGAAGTACTAGAACCCGTGGGCATGGCAGATTGTAGGAGATGTGGGTGGTAGAGATGAAAATAGTCATTTAGTGATGGGCCAAATCAATATAAAATTGTAATCTTACTGCTGAGGCACCTTATCAGTTTTGTTAGACTACTTTTAGGCAGAAATTATTATGGAAAGTATGCAGAAAAGTGAGCAGGACTTGTTTCTGACTATTTTCATTTATTAATAAAGATTTCTTACTCTCTAAATCCTGGCACAGCATAGTGGAACTGCTAACTATGGAAACGTATCACTGAGCTGTCTGCCCTGACAAAGGGCAGCATTCATGAGCTGCCCTGCTAAACTGTCACGTTTCCATTGTCACTTGACGTTTCTCCTGTAACTCTTGTGGTCTGCTGCATAATTCCTTTGTCTCTGGCAGACACCCATTTAGGAGTCTTGGAAAATACAAAGTGGAGCCAGTTAACATTGAATGATGTTAAAACCAGACTGAACTTTTGTTTTCATCGAGGAGGAAGATGATGCCCTCAGCTAATTTGGTTGATCAATAGCCCTGCTTGCAGATAAGGTTTCAAAGCTTGTGGCTAAAAGCTGATTGCACTGGATCCAAAATAAATTTGATCTATTGGCTTCCACAAATGTAGCGTAGCCGGATGATGGTTCAGTGCTGATGCTTAATTCATTTTTATAATGCTGACAGACTAGACTTGGTGCCTGCTGTGAGGACACTGTGCTACATGAACCATTCGGCAGTGCAGCTCTTACTTAAGATGTTTTTTACAGTAGCATGGAGCTGTCACTCTCCAGCAAATAGCGATCATAAAGATTCATTATTCTGAGGCTGGGAAGCACTGCAGTCTCTGTTGGTATTTAATGCCTTTTTTGCTTTTAATGCAAACTTGGATCCTGATTTCCTAAGAAGAAAGAGGTGCTGGTGAGAAATGAGACTGATTTGTTAGTGTTGGCTGGATAAATAAGCGTTACTGAAAAATAAGGAAAAGCTCTGCAACTGAAATGCAGAATAGGTATGCAAGCCCTGTTTGTGATAAGCATTTGGGAATGCAGTTTTAAAAGGGATGCGGCAATGTTCTTTCTTTATGCAGGGTGGAACCGTAGACTTTTAGGAAGATGGACTAAAAGTTACCTGATTCTTTCATCTTTATTTCAGTGACCATATCATGGCTACAGCACCAACAGATGTCATACAGTCACCTGAAACAGGGGAGACGGTTGAAGAATGCACAGGTAAGAAGTTGTTCTTCAAATGTGTAAYGATTTGGAAGTCAGAGTTTATTTCCTCTAGATTATTAAGGGGTCTGTAGTGGCTTGTTTTACAGGGTTGCCTTGGTTTTCTTAATGTATGAAAAGACTTCTGCATGCCTTTGCTTGCTGGCAATATGATGGGAAGAATTTTTAGTACGGAGTGCAGGAGAGCAAAAACCTGATGTAGGATCTTCTTTCCTGGTTATGAGTTTGGATTTCCAAAAACCTGATTGCTTTTATGCTGATACACGTTACAGATCTGGGTGCTGAGCACGTTAGCCAGTCTGGCTGTATTAGCTTCTGTCTGTGAGAGAGGCTGGCGGTGTCCTCACTGAAGCCTCACTTTCCCAACCAAAGCACAGACAACTATTTTCTACTTGCTCTTTCGTGAGCAGGTGCACTCTCAGATTGTCGTTTCATGGATATCACCAGTGTTTCTAAGATCATTTTGCTCTATCCTTTGGAAATACACTTGCCAACATCAAAACATTCTTGTCAACAGAAACAAATGGCAAGGTGAATGTTAGTTGAACCTGTCTGCCTGCATGGCTGGTAGGTATGGGTGAAGAAGTGTACTAACATTAGCCTTACTGAATTCGGTGATTTTATTGCCCATTATTTCCCATAGAAATACCGAGTATTTTTATGAAATTTGTTCATTCAGAATCATGGTCTCTTTTGAGAATTTTGTCTGTGTTTTTTTAATTATTATGTGTTTTTACTGGTAAAAGCATTTGGGGAAAAGACTTGCATATGTGTCCTGAATGCATCTTAGGAAGTCAGAAAGCATAGAAGTTTTTTTTTTTTTTTTTTTTTTTGAGTAATAATATGGCAACTGCCCATCTTTTATAGCTGCAGGGAAACCTCCTGTTTTCCATTCCTGTGAAATAGCTCAAGGCATGCAGCTGGGCAGCGTGCAACTGAGGAGGAATCACTGCTGGAGGGGATACATCAGCACTGAATTAGTGCTTAGAGAAGACACTCGAGTAGCCGATGTGTCCATGCTGGAGGCCTGTGCCACACAGTGACCTTCGGGTGCTGCCCTTTACTCGCTGGCACTCTGCGCGTCCTTGCAGTGGCCTCCGTTCTAAAGTCAGCACTGCCTTGGATCTAAACAAGTATTCAGGGTAGTACCTTGAAAATGTTATCTTTTCTGTTGGCATTATGGCTGTTTCTCCTAAGTGTCTTTTGGGACACTTCTGKTTTTTTTTGTTTGTTTTGTGAACATTCCCCTATGAACGTTCCTTTATTCCTTCTGGAAATGCCAGCATCTGATTAAGCCCATCAGTGATGCTGCCACTAGAATACAACTTTTTTTTGCTGCTGCCCATCACTGGTRGCTGTCGAGGGTACATAGTAATGTCCTTGTTTTTCATTTAGACTCTCTTTAAAGTGAGAAGATTTCTATGTGCAACAAACTGCCATTTTGTTCTTTGAATCACTATAGCAGATGTTGTTGGGTGATAGTTCTAGGGAATTGTTTCAAGAGCCTTCTTGATTTTTTTTGTTTTACTCCTCTAAAACAAACCAACTTTGTCAAATTTGGTGGGAGAATATTGTATATGATGTCTGATTGCTGATGTTAGTAGCTGTAATTGTAGGGTGGCATTTCTAAGGATTCTCTGAAGGACTCTGGACATGTTGGTTTTCTCTGAGAGGCCTCGTGGTTGCTCTGTGACCTTCCTCTCTCCTCAGCTCCTACTTGGTCAGACTCACTGAGCCCTGTGTGTGTCCCAGCAAATCCTAGGCCATATCGACATCGGTGCCGCCCAACGCGGCATGTGCCCGGCGCTCGTGGCTCCAGAGAGCGGCTTGAGCGGATCTCCACGTCATTGTCCATCTCTCAAAGCGGCCACTGTCCGGGACACGGTGCAGCTGCCCCCAAAGGGCCCTTTGGCAGAGATCCCTACACGTACGGGGCATACGTCGAGGCAGAGCTTTGCCGACTAAATCATTGCTGGAGAAGACAATAATTGTGTTGAAATAATGCCTTGCTTATGAAGGCATCCTCCAGCTGTGGGCATTTATTACACTATCTGCCGTAAAATCTTAATTGAACAATGAATTTGGCTCAGATACACAGTGATGTTAGTGGTCTGCATAAGTGTTTGAGTCAATCACAAGGGTCTTAGCACAAGAGTTTGTCCCCAGCCACTCCAAAGGGCCCCCTCACTGTAAGAATCAATAATAAATAAGATGGAGCTTTTGTGTGCTGAGAAAAATATTAATAAAAATGTTTAGGTATCTTAGGTTATTAAAAAATGAAAGAAGTCATCTACTGTGTTTCTTATGGTTTATTTTTTCTTCTATATTTATTTCTTTTCATTTGGATGATGGAAAATCTGAAGTCAGAATAAGAGGCCTAACACTGTGTTCTTAGGCCTGCTATGTTTGAAGGTTTCATGTCCTGGAAAGGAGTGTGATAATTTAAGAGCAATTTGCTTCATTGGTCTTGGGGGAGTTGTTGATTTTATTTTGGGATGATGGTTTAATGTGGAAACATCTTTCAGCTTTAGGATTTATAAATACTTTATACAGAAGTTTGCATCTTTTTGCCAAATCTTGAATATTCTTCAAATGTTCACTCCTTACAGCACTAAGACATACTAAGCTCAGATACGAGGAGTTAAAGACATTCAATCATTAAATTTTACTGAAAATGAGTTATGACATGCATGATCGCTGAACAAGTGTAGTTAGATACATTCTATATATAAGATATWTTTTTTTWAMYTTTTTTTTTTTTCTCAACAAACTGGAACCTAAGCAAGCATCATCGTTGTCAGCTTAGTGGTAGTGCTGCTTTGTAGGCGGCAAATCTATGAATTGCAGCTTCACCTTTCACTGGACTCCAGCATTGAATTATTAACAAAGCAGCTGAGTGGAAGTGAATGGGCTGCTCGAGCCTGTGACTCTCTGTAGGCTTCCTCCCGAGTTTAAGTGACAATATTCTCCAAGCTAAGTAACATATCCAGCTTCTGTAAAAGTTCTTTTCTTTCTTTTCTTTCTTTGTTTTTTTATGTAGCAGGAAGGAAAAAATCCAAATTTCAGACTTTCAAGAACTTCTTTGCAAAGAAGAAAAGGAAAGAGCCTCCAGCTCCCCAGGGTGAGAGTAATTTAAAACCCAGCCAGTCCAGCAGCGATGTCAGCATCTCCGTGCTTGACTCCACAGCACTTCATTCACCAAAGGAGGCTGGGTAAGCTGGTGGGGAAGGAAAATAAATAAATAAAAGCAGATTTCTCCCCACAGGAGGATGAAAGCATGAGTTTTCCCCTTAGGAGCAATCTCTGTCCAAGTCTGTGCAAAACAAGCCCTAATGTTGATGAAGGAATTTCAGGAATTTCCTCTTTCTTTGCTATGTGCTTCAAAAGCCAGCATGGAGAGGAGGGGGAAGGCAGCTGAGGGCAGGGGTGACCCAACCTCTTAGTCTGTAAAACTGCAGATAGCCCAGATTGTTTTGATTGGTTTTAATGTTTGAAATCTGTCCTGGCAGGTCTGACCAGCAGCGACTTGGCAGGAAAGTGATGATTGAGTAGTCTTAGCGCATGTGAAGTTGAGTTGCTGTGTTTTTCTGCATAAACAGTTCCCTTTGTCGTGGCTGGGTTAAAGAGAAAGAAAGTGTTTATAGTGTATTTCCAGAATGGAATTGCTGCTTAATTTAACTTTCTTGTGTAGCTGTTTAGATATCAATAACAGAAGGCCCCTAGTTTTGTACCAGGTACCCCAGAAGGACTGTGCCTATGAGTGGGGTTTGCAGCTCATATGCAGAGTTTGCCGAAAGAGCCTTGCAAATCTCAAGCTGTGTCCAGAGCCATTCTCAGATCCCTGAATGATGTTGGTTCAAAGCTTGCCTTTTAAAAAAGTAGTTAGGGTAATAACAGGTATTACCTTGCATTGCTAACGTTGCTTCACTTGTAACCTTAGATCATCAACAGCAACACTTCCATTGCACATCTCTGCCTGAATTTGAGGTGGGATGACCTTCTCCATATGGTCATATCTGCTGCCAAGGGTTTGGATATTATTTCTTAGCCAGGGAAACAGGCTGTCATGGAGCAGTATCTTGCAGCCTATAATTTGGCTGCTTTCCAGTCTTCTTGAACCCCTTCCTGCTCCCTCATGTTAGCAGTCCAGGTGAGTCTCATGTTGGAATAGTTGAGGTCTCAGGTTGCTGTGGAGCTGCAAACTGAGTGCCCCAGTGCGTAGGCCACATCTTAGGACTCACAGTGGTTTCTTGGAGGGCCTGCTGGGTGGGTATGTCATCCATACGCATTGCTGCCAAAAGTGTTATATCATCACATATGGCATTCAATGTGACTAGACCCTATGCTTCTGCTGATGGAGCAGGTTAAAGATGTTTCCTTCTCAAGGATGCTTGTGTCTCCTTGCCCCACCTTTCACTACCCTCTCTGTTGTGTTTATATAACTGCATCRTGGAAATGATCTGGGTTTAGGGAAACAACAATCTTTTTATTTTCCTTGTTAGCTTAACACTAGCAGAATTAGTGATCACACAACCAGTTCCTTGGGGCAAGCGGGAATTATAGTGACTCAAGTAACCCAGTCCAGAAAGCTTAGGACCCACTGAGCTCAGCCTTGAGCCCATAGGAGGGAGCTGGCATAAAATGAGCTGTCTGCTCCAGAGGCAGTGTGGAAGAGAATTCTTTCTTTTGCCCGTAACCAAATACTTCAAGTCCAATTSCTGTTTATCTCAGCACTATCCTCCAGTGATTATAAATTCTTTCGCAAGACCAGAGACCAGGAAGTTAGTAAAACCCTCTTGTTTTTCACTTAGAGATAGGGTTGAATGGACTGTCCAAAGATATCCAAGTATATTTGTGCTATTTGAAAACCATGCTAAGACCCTGTATAGCATGAACATGCTTTGTAAATACCTAGGGTGATTGAACAAACTAATCCTTTGGAAGACCTGATCCTGGAAGCCAGTGGAAATACAACTTGTGAATGTTTGTAGCACTGAGCTTTGTAATTCTTGGCATGCAGAATACCAAAACCAATCCTAGAACAATGCTGCTGTTTGTTTGTTGTTGAGGCAGAAGCCCTGGTTTTCTTTTTATTTCTTTAAAACCATGTAATCTTTTCAAAATATTGGTTTTCTGAATGCTACCAGAGACCAAACTCCTAGATGTGCCAAATGCTCTTGTAACAGTCCAAGAGATGTGAAGGGAAGCAGAGGGTTGGCAGGGCTTCTTCAGGAGCCTGGATATCACGGGACCACATTAATCAATGGGACTGGGTATCAGTGAAGGAGAAGTGGGCATTATTTGCTGTTGCCTTTTTATCTTCAGAGACGTATGAGTTATGAAAAGAAATGGAAATATCTCCTTAGTGACAAAATTAAAGCACATGCCATAAGAATCTTTTCTGTATTATTTAAATGGGTAAAGGAATAGTCATAGAGGAGGATTTGGTCTTATTTGGTCAAAATCTTATTCCAGTTAAAAAGCTTTGAGCAGGAAAAAGCAGCTGGCCTGATATGTAAATTGTCCTTGTCTTTGTAATGTACTCTCATTGCTCTTGCAGGCTATAGTTGTCTTCGGAAGAGCGTTCGAATTGGGGGAAAAAAAAGATAAAACACTAGGGAAAGAGTTGTAGCAGTAAGAAAGTGGAAGAAAGCATTGGCACTGAAGAGGTTAGGAGGGGATTTGTCAGTGTATTTCAAATCCCATTATATCCTCAGTCACGATGGCTTGAGGGTTACTGCACATGGATGAACTGACCATTTGTATAGGGAAGTCAGCATGGAAACACAGTGACTAAAACAGCTGGGGTTTCAGCTAACTGTGCATCTTTAGCTACAACACAAATATAAATACACTGCCTGGAATTACACATGAATGTGTATATATATATGTGTGTATGTGATATATATATATTATATATATAATATATATATATATATGTAGGAGACTTGTCTGTGCTAAAGCTGCAATTAAGTCTGAACTTAATCTGATTTTCTTTTTGCCACTGCCAGAAGAAAATACAACAATTTTCTTGCAAATCTATACGATACACAAGCAGGGAGAGAGAGCAAGAATTTTTTTACAAAGAAACAAGAAAACTTCAGCTCTTATTGCTGAAGACTTCCAAGTAAGTGGAGTGAGGAAATCCCCACATTAAAGGATTAATATATGCTAATTATTCAATGCAATAAGTAAAATATGTGAATTAGTGAACATAAATATTCACTACAGCAAGTAAAAGTTAAGTGACACTGTCTTTCTGAATGCAATAAAATTACTTCTATGCTGACCTGCCCTACTGTGCTGACTGTGCTGAAAGAACTCTTTAAAAAAAAAAAAAAAAGAGAAAAGGAGAAAAAGATGGGATGACTCCATTCACTCTAATGATGAAATAAGGCATCTGTTTTCCAGTGTGTAGAACTACTACCCTATAAAATAACACAGAC